AGTATCACTTCTGGGTCTGACCCTTTTCTCAACACACAACCCTGCTAGACTTTCAAAATAAGACTCCAGTGACCCTACACAATAAAAGCCTCTATATTATGCTCACGTATTAATTGATGCAAATGGCTCAGCATTATAACCCAAACTCTACCAGCTTGTTTCTATTAGACTTTAGGGACCTTTTCAAAACATACCCCGGGGCGAATTTCACAATAAAAGTCTCCCATTTATGCTCTAATACGGCATCTATTCACCCAATAACATGGAAAACGAGTGATTTCATATTTAGAAATGGATTCTATATAACTGCTGGGCATGACCCTTCCCTTGACACACATCCATGTTAGACTTTCAAAATAAGACTAAAGGGACTCTACAAAATAAAAGCCTCTTCCTTACACACACTCATTCATTGTGCCATATGGCTCGTAGCTATGACCCAAACTCAACCAATTTCTTCAAATTACACTACCAAGGCCTGTTGACCACACACCTCAGTGCATATTTCTTAATCAGGTTCTAAGATTTACACTGTAATAAAGCATCTGCTAACCTCGTAACAAGCAGCCTTAGCCTGCCAACGGTGCTGTCATCAACACAGCGGCTCGTAACATGCAGGTTAAAGTTTTTGACAAATTCAGCTCCTTAAGTGAAATTAGCTCTCTTTCTATAAGCTTCTCTCTTTGTCCTTCCTCTGCTTGTCATGGTCAGTCTTGCACATAGGTTTGTAGATTTTCAATCCTCTAAGGATGACACTGTTTTCTTTATGCTGATCAACCAACACATTTTAAATCATTTCAAATTGTTCTGCCAAGTCTTGACATTTCCACAATTTCTAAATTTTGATACTTATTCAATACCATCTTCCTCAACATTTTACTTCCCATCCTTGAGCTACTAATTTTTTCTTCAACCAAATAAGATTCAAGTTTTTCTTTGTAATTTATTTTCTGATTCAGCTAATTTAATACTTTTCAGCCTATGCTGAGAACTTTGGTTTCATTCTGCTCTCTTTCTGGACAGGAATTAAGCTTTTCTGTTTGCTGCTAATTCATAACACGCCTGACATGTTTCTGGAAAGTAGGTGGCCCCCTTTCAAAATTTCTTGAGAACTTTTTCTAGAAACTTGGGAGACATTACATTTAGACCCTTCTAGTGTCCACGTTGAACACATTTTTTGATATCATGTATGGTTTGGATGTGCAGCTTTTAAGATGAGTCTGTTTCTGCCATTTTACTGCCAGATGATTCTACCCTACAAAATCTTCAGATGATTCAATTGTTTTCTGCACTTTGAAGTTTCTGATGACTTCCTTTCACATTTTCATATGTTCCTCGGCTAATTTGTGCTTCTTTTCCTTCTCACAGTTGCTTTAGCTAATTTTTCTCTTTTCATTCAGCAAAAAAAGCATTCCCACTTTGCTGTTTCTGCGAAACAGCTTTTTCTAGTTGTTATTTACTATCTCCTTTTATTGGTAGTAAATACTGTGGTCGCCATGGTAACATTGGTTAAGTCATTGCAGGCGACAGTGGGGTTATAATTTCAGTGGCATCAGGAATGGCATCAGGTGTAAAAACCTTTAAAAGTCTGTGAATATGAGAGCAGCAGAAAGCACACACACACACACACACACATCCCCACACAAACAGCTGTTTTTTCATGACATATGGGGACATTTTCATTTTATATGGCCTAACCCAGACCTTTACCCTAACCCTAACTATTTCCAACATGTACCTAATATTTAGCCTCGTGAGACCATCCTGATCTCGCGAGCTTTCAAGGTTTCACTCGCAGATCAGTCTGGAGACTCTCTGTTAAAGAAAATTTGGAGCCGTTCAGCAAACGAACGTCCAACCAGCGTTGGCTTGGAGGCGGGTTGAGGTGTGACGCAACGAGAAGCGCAACAGTTCAGTCTAAAGAACATGGCAGCTTCAGCCGATGAAACTAGCGTTAGCGTGGCTATCGAGCAAGTTTTATCGGAATTACAGAGTATTTGTTCACTGAAAGAAGAGCAAAACACTGCTCTGGAGGCTTTTCTCAGAGGAAAAGATGTTTTTGCTCTTCTCCCGACTGGTTTCGGCAAGAGTTTGATCTATCAATTGACTTGTGGTTGTGTTTTTGTCGTCGCTCTGTTAGTACGTCATATGCTTCGTTGATCTGATTGGTTTATTTGGCCCGTCTATCACCAACATAGGCCAATCAGCTAACCAGTATTTTCGCCCCCTCCCAAAATTACTTCAACGGAAGGTTTCCAGATGGATATGCGGAGCAAATCCATCTGGCGGAGTCAGGTTACCTAATATTAACCCACAGGACAGAACTTTACCATATGGGGACCAGTTGAATATCCCCATACAGTATGTACCAGTAGGTCCCTACATGTAGGATATTTTACAAAATACTGCACCCACAATGTAGGTAAAACACATCCACACACACTCATACATTTTTATAATATATATCAGACAGACTGTGTCTGATGTCATTCAGCCACTTCAAAATCTTCATGCAACATCGTTTTGTCCTGCTGGCTCATCAGCAGCCTCTGTTTTTGCTTTTTTGGGGGGAAAAAACCATAAGAAACCATACAGAGCATCAAAACTCTCATTATGGACCTGAGCTGAGGTAGCCTCATGCTGTAGACTTCATTATCCTTAAAGGGAATAATAAATCCTTTATAAGGCAGCTCATCTGAGAGCATAAACCACATGTTAGTTTTAAACTGAAGCTCAGCACTGATTAGAGCTGAACTGCAGCACAAAATACACACTACTTTATCCTACAGCTTTATCCTATCGCTGTTTTATTTGTTGAACATTTTAGGAAAATAATAAAAATAAATTTAAAAAATATATGTTTCAACTTAAAAATAGCTAAATTAGCATATTCATGGTTTATGGAAGGCAGTCTTAGAAAGTGAAATAAGGTTCAGTAAATGAAATTGCAGAAATTTTCATGGTAGCTGTAGCTTTAACTCAAAGCTTTAACTTAAAGCAAACGTTCCAGGTCCTTTTAATCTTTAGGTTTGATTATTAACAAATTATTTTTTATTATGGGAAGTATGCACCAATTTAGAATTACATATTTTGGTAAAGTGTGGTTAAAAAGTATTCCTATTGCGCTCACCTTAGAAACAGGTAATCACAGGATGTGTCCCATTCAGAATCATCAAACATCAGCACCCGGAAGTCACAAGAGATGCACCTCAGCTGGTCACATGACCTACAGACACATTAACATCGCCACCAGTCAGCTGTTTATCACATTTCAATTACGATGAAAAGCAAAATAAAAGTGAAAATTCTACATGATCAGCAAGAGCTGTGATAATGAGTAGAAAACCAGAAACAACCGATGCTGTTAGAATGAAATTCTGTTTTCACACCTTTTGGATGTGGCTGTTCCAACACCGTTTGTGACTGAGCTCCCGCCGATAAAAACAGGACAGCACCTGGAAGTAGAACAGGCAACCCAGTGCCATGCAAATACAGTGAGGAAAGTAAAAGTCACCATGGCTACATGAACAAAGAGCTTTTGTTCAAACTTAAGATCTTTTCACAGAATTTGTTCAAAGCAGAACGGCTCTGTTTTCTGCAGTAATATACAGTAAGTACTGTAATTCCTTCAGAGTTGTATATTTTCTTTTATTTACAGAGAAAAAGCTGAAAGTCTTACTTCCTTCCTGCACTCTGTGCTGACGGCTTCTTTTCTGCTTCGTCTCTTTTAGAAACATTTTCACTCTGAAACAGATCAAAAACAGTGACAATAACAGAATAAAGACACTCGAATTTAACGCACCCAAACTGTAAGAATAATGAATACAAATTAAAAATCAACAGGAATTGAGTCTCATTCTCTAAAATCTTCATGAGAAGCCAAAGAGAAAACATGTTGGTTCAACTGTGGAAACTATAATAATGTGGTTTCTAAATAAAACAAAAATATAAAAATAAAACTAAAAATGTTTTAAATTAAAATCCAAAAATTATGCAGTAAAATAAGATAATCTATAATATGATAAACAAACATATATATATATATATATATATATATATATATATTTATATATATATATATATATATATATATATATATATATATATATATATATATATATATGTATATATATATATATATATATACATATATATATATACATATATATATATATACATATATATATACTTATATATATACATATATACACTATATTGCCAAAAGTATTTGCTCACCTGCCTTGACTCACATATGAGCTTAAGTGACATCCCGTTCCTAATCCATAGGGTTCAATATGACGTCGGTCCACCCTTTGCAGCTAGAACAGCTTCAACTCTTCTGGGAAGGCTGTCCACAAGGTTTAGGAGTGTGTTTATGGGAATTTTTGACCATTCTTCCAGAAGCGCATTTGTGAGGTCGCACACTGATGTTGGACGAGAAGGCCTGGCTCTCAGTCTCCGCTCTAATTCATCCCAAAGGTGTTCTATCGGGTTGAGGTCAGGACTCTGTGCAGGCCAGTCAAGTTCATCCACACCAGACTCTGTCATCCATGTCTTTATGGACCTTGCTTTGTGCACTGGTGCACAGTCATGTTGGAAGAGGAAGGGGCCAGCTCCAAACTGTTCCCACAAAGTTGGGAGCATGGAATTGTCCAAAATGTCTTGGTATGCTGAAGCATTCAGAGTTCCTTTCACTGGAACTAAGGGGCCAAGCCCAGCTCCTGAAAAACAACCCCACACCATAATCCCCCCTCCACCAAACTTTACACTTGGCACAATGCAGTCAGACAAGTACCGTTCTCCTGGCAACCGCCAAACCCAGACCCGTCCATCAGATTGCCAGATGGAGAAGCGCGATTCGTCACTCCAGAGAACGCGTCTCCACTGCTCTAGAGTCCAGTGGCGGCGTGCTTTACACCACCGCATCCGACGCTTTGCATTGCACTTGGTGATGTATGGCTTGGATGCAGCTGCTCGACCATGGAAACCCATTCCATGAAGCTCTCTGCGCACTGTTCTTGAGCTAATCTGAAGGCCACATGAAGTTTGGAGGTCTGTAGTGATTGACTCTGCAGAAAGTTGGCGACCTCTTCGCACTATGCGCGTCAGCATCCGCTGACCCCGCTCCGTCAGTTTACGTGGCCTACCACTTCGTGGCTGAGTTGCTGTCGTTCCCAAACACTTCCATTTTCTTATAATACAGCTGACAGTTGACTGTGGAATATTTAGGAGCGAGGAAATTTCACGACTGGATTTGTTGCACAGGTGGCATCCTATCACAGTTCCACGCTGGAATTCACTGAGCTCCTGAGAGCGACCCATTCTTTCACAAATGTTTGTAAAAACAGTCTGCATGCCTAGGTGCTTGAATTTATACACCTGTGGCCATGGAAGTGATTGGAACACCTGATTCCAATAATTTGGATGGGTGAGCAAATACTTTTGGCAATATAGTGTATATATACATATATATATATACACATACAGATACATATATATACCATACATACACATATATATATATACACATACAGATACATATATATACCATACACACACATATATATATATACACATACAGATACATATATATACCATACACACACATATATATATATATATATATATATATATATATATATATATATATATATATATATATATATATATATATATATATATATATATATATATATATATATACATATATGGGTGTGGGTTTGCATGTGTATCATATTATAGATTATGTTATTGAACTGCATATCTTTTGGATTTTATTTAAAAATTTTTAGATTTATTTATGTATTTTTCCACAGATGAACCAACATGTTTTCTCTTTCGCTTCTCATGAAGATTTTTTTTTTTTTTTTGCATAAGAAAATAGTAAATGAAAGAAAAGACAGGAAAAATATGAACAATAAATCTTGTTAGCTTATTTTTATAGATATCCACAAACTGACTTTCCAATTTTAAAAATGCCACGTAGAAAAATTAAAGAAATACAGTCAAAATGCTCTGAAAGAACTTGTGCAGCTTAGAAAGGCAGAAACCAGTGACAGTTTTCCTGTAATTAGTATTAGATTTAAGGCAGAATATAAATCACATGATGTTATAAAAGGTCCTTTTCTGTAAAGAAAACATAAAACAGCACAAATAATCTTGAAGAGGGCATTTGCTATATAACCACCTATCTTTTTCTAACCATGTAAAACATACGTCACAGTTATAAGCCAACCTTTGACGGAGGAGAACTGCTGTAATCGTCCTCCAGCAATTCCTCCAGAAGGGCATCAATGTCCTCAGAGATGCTGCTTTTTGGTTCTTCACATGTTGCAGCACTAAGTCAGAAAAACAACAGCTCACTCAATACAGTATTCTTTATTACCTGTGTCATTCATTAAGTGTTTATTTCCCCAAACTAAAAAGCTTCAAAAACATGAGCGAATAGAAAATCCTAATTAGAGATCTTACTGGCTTCAGTGCTTTTGATCTTTCATGACATCCAAGTTATTAAGGAATGAAGGGAGAAACAGGGCCGTCCATAGCTTCCATGGGGCCCTAAGCAACATTGATTGTCAGGCCCTCTGATAAAGCCAATGAAATCTATTGCTGCAATCAACATTCTGATGATCAGATCACTCACTCATCCACTATAAACTTATAAAAGAATTAGTATGCTGCTTGAATGCTTTTGAAGATTCTCAGTCATCCAGGTCATAGTCATTCCGTAAAAGTTTAAAAAACAATCCAATGGATTTGGCTTTCAAGTATGCTGCTTATTTATATTAAAAATGTTATAGGTTTATACTTTTTGGCTTTATCAGCAAAAACAATGTGCAAATAAACATTGTGAACAACAATAGGGGAATAAATAGTTTTAATTAACACAGATAATAAATGAAACTATACAAAAACGGACATAATTAAAAGTTCAATCAAAATAATAGGTATCATATCCACTTTACATTTGTTATCCAAAGATAAGTTTGTTTCTGGGAATTTTTTTACGCTGCTCCTCCTTCATCTGTGTGTCAAACTGGCTCCAAGAACAACTTTTTTTATATATAAGTACAAGTAGAAATTCTAAATTATTTAGGATATTTTGATAAAAATAAAAAAAATCTGTTTTTGTTAGTTTATCTTAATAGAGACTAATAAGCAAAACAAAACCCAATTATTGTTTCTTGAGAAGCCCTGTGGGATTATAAGCAGTTGCTTAGATGCCTTGCCCGAGTATGTAATCTTCATGTTACATTTAGAAGAAAAAGGTGAAATATATTTATGCACGTTGAGTTATTTAGGATCCAATCACTTCCAGTCTTTATTAACTATACTTTTCAATCTTAGTAAAATGGATTCAAATGTTCCTATATTCAGATTTATGTTTATATCCAGGTACCAGGGGTGTCCTAATGCAACTTTTTCATTTTAAATACAATATAAGCAAAAAACATATATACTTTTACTTTACTTTTATTTCATAGTGTGGAATCGCAGAAAAAAAATTGAAGTTTATATTAAACAGAAACAGCAACAACGGGTAGAACAACAACCGACCCGTTTATTATTAAACAAAGTGTCACATCAATTTAATGTTTTATGTATAGACATATAAGTTTAACAATGAATATTGTCTATAAAATCAGGAACCCCTCAGTCAGTGGCGCTTCGTCTTCTCTCAATACATCCATCATTTTAGAGCAAGTCATGCTTCCTTCTGCTGAGCAGTTATGCAGATCCTGATTCAATTTTCCATCAGGACTGGCAGCTGCCCACATTAGGTGTTTTCAAAAGGACATTGAGAGACAATAAAGCCAACAATACAGCTGACCTTTAGACAGCTACTAAAGCAACGTGGGCTGTATCAGCAGAACCCACAATTAACTACTGAGTGCCACAAAAATAAACATAGTTTTCACATGTCTGGAATTTCTGTTTAAAATAAAATGTTTTTGCCATTATTTAATATTAGATTTTTCTTACACTTTCTTTAAGTTTTTTTTTTTTCATTATCTGTGCATAATGCAACCAACATGACAATAATTTAAAGCTTAAAATGTTCAGCTCTATGTGTCATTAATCTATATAACATATAAGTTTCACTTTCTGGAATTCATAATATTCTAGTTTTTTAGATGTTCCTGAAATTTAATCAACTACTACATCATTCAGCACTAATTTATTATTCTCACCATAAACTGTTTTTTATTATTTCATCAGAATGCTTCACTTTACAGCTGTGCTTATTTTTTAAGTCCTACCTGCTGATTTAATAATTTTACTGTTTATAAAACTGTAAAAATGATAAAGGAATAATTAACCTTAAAGCCTAAAATGCATAATTCATTTTGTATTAGATTACTGAGAAAAACGTCGTTTCCATTAATAAACCGTGTCAACATTTTGGAGATACAATGATGTGTATTTGCTAAAAGTAAACAAGTGCTAGCCAAAAAGAAAAGCATTGTTTACCTCCGTTCTCCAAGCTTATTTTCCCGTTTGTTCTGCTTTTCATCGGAACACGCAGCAGAAACTTTACCGCAGAACTTCTTTTCCACTTCATCTAAAAGCTCATCCAGGTCATCTTTATCCATTGTAAACTAGTATTTGTCTTTTCACTGCTAGCTTCTGGGGCTAATCAGCACATTCGGGCCAGTTCCACTACGGATCGGGCGTTTGCCGTTGCTAGGTTACAAAGCGGAAGTAGGCCAAACTCTTCATTCAAAATAAAAGCCCTATTTTTTTTTTATTTTATTTTTTTTTTTTTGTACCATAAAATACATTTTTATTACAGCTTTTAAAGCGCTTCTCCTCTGTCATCGTGTGTTTTGTAAAAGCGTCAGAGCAAATGCATTAAAAAGGCTAAACAAGCAGATAAAAAGGATGATTCTGTTCTAGAAACTCATCTAGAACCTCTGGAGATGATTTTTATGACGGATAATTTCTCATAAAAAAAAATAACAGATAACAGTGAGCATCAACCAGTAGAAAAAAAAAATCAATGAGTTACTACAACATTAGCGTTTTTGAATTTCTTATTTGCACACAAATAAAATACTGAAAACTCTTATACCTAACAATTTTTATATGTATTTTGTTTGTTGTAAACTGTCTTTTAGAGACAATAACGAAATGTTACAACGCCATAACAACGCCTGAACAGAATCATGGTTGACCTTAGATAACCCCATCCCCGATCAGACAATCAGTACTCACAATAAAATACGCCCCCTGGTGGCGATAACAGAGGATAGGACAAATGGCTCCTACATGTACAATTCTTTACTTTTTTGAGTAATGTAATTTTTTTTTTTACACAGCCTATGTGGAAAAAAGGACCAGATTATGCAAGCAGGTTGAAATTCAACATAAACAGATTCTTCGCCTTTATGATTAAATTGCTTAAGATTTTATTTTGAAAATCTAACAAGCAGAACCCACCCCTTTTGATCAACTACCAACCAACTTAACAGCCGTTAAACTTCAGTTGCATTATAGAATTAGCCTAAGCGACAAGCTAGAAAAATTAAAAAAGAATACTAACATGTTTGCCATAAAAAAATAAATAAATAAGCGTTGTCGGCAGGATTCGAACCTACGCGGGGAGACCCCAATGGATTTCAAGTCCATCACCTTGACCTCTCGGCCAAAAATGGGGCAAAAGGGACTGCCCGCGCGGGGGAAAGAAGGAAAGAAGAGGGGAAAGAGGGGGGAAAAGAGAGAAAAGAAAAGGAGGAAAACATGCACTATATCAATTTCTATCTACTTTTTTTACCTTCCCAACATTTTTTACTGTAATTTCTGCACTTATTTCAGGCTTTATCATCACATAAATTTTTATGTTTCTTGCGGGATTTGAACCTGTGCTTGGGCAATACCGCTTGCATCTTAGGGCATTCCAGAAGTAGAGGTACACATGCAGTGTATTCTGGGTTATGTAGTAACTTTAACAAAGGAACTGTTTTGCCCTATAAATCACACTAGTAATAACCCTGTGATAAATCACGCGAATGCATTCAAAGCAAATTTTCTTGTAAATAAAAATATTATAAATGAGAAGTAATTAGGGCTTTAGTTTTAACAATTCAATTCAATAGGTAACCCCACTGGTATTCAAAAAAGTTAATAAAAACATGAAGGTTGTTCTTAACTCCAAAAAACGTATGAAACTTTATTGTGAGAAACAGAGAAACAGAGGTAACAAAAACTACAAATTCTTCCTCCAGTCTTCCTGGGTAACTCCAGAGGCAGGACAATACCACCGCCCCTTCAGCTGGGTGTGTCCAGTCTTTTTGCTTTTGTCCTGGCCACACACCTTGCACGTGTAGTGGTATTTTTCCTTCGCTAGCCTCTTCCGAGGTGGCTCCCCCTTTGATACACGCTCCTCATCTTCCTGTGCAGCTTTATTTAGCCTCCAGGCACGTTGTCTTGGCTGGGATGGAAGGCTCTCTGGAGGAGCATGCTGCACAGGAGGAGCATCAGGAGATGGAGGTGCATGTGGAGGAGGAGGAGTTTGCTGCGGTGGAGGAGGATAGTTAAATGGAGGAGCATAGCTGAATGAAGGACCATATATAAACGGAGGAGCATTTGGAAATGGAAACTGTGGAAATGGAGGAGCTTGCTGCAATTGAGGAGCTGGCCAAAACTGAGGAGGGAACTGGGGAGGTGGAAATGGTGGAGCGGACACTGGTTTGTTTGCCGCCAGAGTGCGCTGACGGGGAAAAGCTTCCCCCTCGCGGTTTTCAGGCTCCTCGAATTCCATTTTTTCATGTCCGTGTTGCACAGGTGCTGCAGGAAGTGTCTTAGTTGCAGGGAGAGGCTCCTTGGCCAGGTGCAACTGTTTGGGAAGAACAGTGCCTTGCAGCAGCATGTCCCTGTCCTTCCTCTTATCCCTCCTAAGCAGCCTACAAAACAAACATTTATTATTTTATACATCTATTATATATATACTCCTTTCCTAAGGTTATTACATGCATGTACGTATATTTTTTTTTAGGTTAAATCTTGATCTACTATCTTGACTGTGTGGGAGAGGTAACTGAAATAACACATACCATGAAGAGACTGTGGTGTTGTTAACCGGCACCAGAACCAGGTTTGTCTGGTCCAGGACAACCCTGCTGTCCTCCAGCAACTGCTTTATATGGCCGTATACCTTGACTATGGACTGAGGGATGGGCATGGTTTTCCCCTTTGTGTCCTTTGGCCTGTTGCGTGACTGCTCAAACTCTTTGGCGAGTCTGAGGCAAACACACTCACTGACCCTGTTTGCTTCCGGGTCCTGGGCTGCTTGGCCATGAGTCATGTAAAGTCTGTGGGAGATAAGAATGACATGATCTGGGCTGTGAACAATGATTCAAAGTCATGAAGAACCAATTTAAAATGTCAATAGGAAATGTAATGAAATAATTTACAATTAACAAATGCTTTTCACAGTGACACATGCCATCTTTTAATCAATGGTTTGTATTGAACCAAATTAATGGCAAATTGTGGCCAAGTACCTCTCAGCCGCCTGCTGTCCAGGAGCAGAACCACTCGGCTTCCTGGGTGCTCTCCAAGGTCCTGAAGTAGCATGCGCTTTCTTTTTAGCCTTCTGGGTGTACCTAAACCGTAAAAGAAACAAATATATATATATATATATGTATATATATATATATATATATATATATATATATATATATATATATATGTATATATATATATATATATATATATATATATATATATATATATATATACATATAAATATATATACATGTATATATATGTATATACATATATGTATATACAAAAATATACATATATATATATATAGATATATATATACATATATATCTATATATATATATATATCTATATATATATATAGATATATATATATATAAAAGCTGAACTCTTTTTTTAAAGGCAAGGTTGAATCTTGGTGTACAAAGTAGTTACTCTTCTGTACCTTGAAGGTGCCTTGTCCATGGCATTAAGAGCTGTGTACAGGTGGACTATGTCTGTCTCCTCCTTGGCTGACAAGGCGGTGATGGTGCGGTTCAAGTCAACTAGGTAGGCTGCAAGGGCATCAACTGCATCCCATCCCACAACGCCCCTGGAGTCACGTTGGCTGGTCTGAGAAGTGAGAAGAAAAAACAAGCAAATGTCAAATCTTGTTTGTAATATGTAAGCAATGCTGATTTTACGTTATTTTATCTTATTAAAATGTGGCAACATTTAGTTCAGCTAAATATTGTGTTTCTGAATAATGTTTTACAGAAAGTGTTATTGACCTCTGTAACGAGGGCGTCGGGATCAGTGTCATCCTCTACAGCACTTGGAGGATCACCCGCCCCTGTCTCAGCTGACTGGCAGAGAATGTCAGGCATGCTGATGGTGTCATCTGGCTCATCCTCATCCTCGACCACCTGCGAGGGGATTTCAGAGACCTGTGATGGAGCCAACAGGTCACCTCTGTTGGTCTGGGCCAATAAGTATTCCACTGCTATTCGCTCGCCTGTAACCAGTATAAACACAAAGATGAAGAAAGGACATAAATACACACATCAATGTCATACATAAAAAGCACAATCTTTACATTCAAGAAATGCATGTCCTCTGAGTGGGAGGGGTAATTAAAAAAAGGAGGAGGAGATGTAATACTCAGGTTTAGCAGTGTTGCTCTGAGATCTTTTTTACCAGTGGGTTTTCCAGGTGGGGTGAACTCTGGCACCAGAGCACAACCATGGACACGCTGACTTAAGTTGTTAAGGAGGGATATCAAGCGAACATCAAAGCTTCTTAGTGTTGAGGCCCCCTCCACATCTACTGCCTCCTTGGCCCGGCCCATGTTCCATCTTGATATCCCCTCCAGCATGTACATTTGGGTATGTAAAGCATTGCACCGCCAGCCTAAGAAACAAAGTACTCTGATCAGTCAACGGTTATTATAAGATGAACATTTATGAATACCTGACAGTTTTAATTTTGTATGTTTTATTTTTTCATAATTAAAACACAAACACTGTCTTAACAGAGAATAACTTTTAAAAAAGACATACAAAAATGCAAGAAGAAATGCAAGAATACCTGGAATAAAAGCACACTGGTGTCGGTGAAAACTCTCCAGGGAGGATGATCCCCTAGCACACCTAAGGGTGTCCAGCTCTTTGCCGCCCTTCTGGAGTGTCCCCACCTTTGTGTACAATGCAACACCTACAGGATCTTGTAGACACTCCAGATGCTTTTGCTGCACTTCCCACACGTGGCGCATGCTGTCATGATTTACCAAACGCAGGCCTGTGGTGTCTGTCAGCTCCCACACTGATTCCAGCAGCCCTGAAATCATGCTCCGCATCTCTTCCACTCCACGCGTCCTCCTCCTGCAGTGTCTCTTCAGTTCCGCCGGGCTGATGGTGGCCATGAGCTGCTCTTCAGTGGGTATTTGTCCACTGTGGCTGCTCCTCCACTCTGCTCTCTTGGCCTCCTTCAGGCGTTGCACATCGTCCTGGTCCCATATGAAAATGCAGGCAGAAAGCTTGGAGCAAAAGGTGCCATAGAGAGGGTGGTGTTCTGTAGTGAGGCCGCAGTTAAAACGTCTCATGAAATGGAAGCTGTCCAAGCGCACCGCAGACTTCCATGGGTGAAAGAGCTTTGCTACTGAAGACACTCCTGTGAAAAACAACCATTCATAATAACATAGACC